CAAACTATTTCTGTTAATATTTGATTTAAGATACAGTGTCATTTTTTGGGATTCAAATAGTCAAAAATGTTCAAAAAATCTTTAATACGAACTAGTCACAATTTTTCTGGAACGATTTCATAATTCTTTTCAAAATCTCTAACTGCATTTGTCATAAATCGTGTTAGAATCCTGAAGATCCACCCTTCAGCAAATTTGAAATGAAAACTGCAAAGATCTTCGTTCAGCTTCAATATTTTTTCAGATAAATCCTGGCGATCCTTGTCCTTCTTTAAGAAGGATCTGAAATGTTTGTCCTTGAAGTGATCTCAAGAGAACCTTGGAAACACTCAGAAGAGATATTCGTACTAGAAATACGTGAGACAATGAGATAGAATCATAATTGGACCTTGACAAGACCAACAAGATGATGATTCTTACTGCTCTTGCATGATTCTTTGGAGGATCTTTGCCTAATACAGTCGTAAGACCTGAGAGGATCATATCTAGGGAACTGCAAACTGGTTCCGGTCCTGGAGGCCCATTTCGGGATCGAAAATTTTTCTTTTACGGGGTCGAGACTGAAACTATTTTTAGCTCGTCTCGAAAAATTATTTTGAATAGAAAGTAGAACTCAATTGTCTCTTGAAGTCAATTGATGATCAATAATATTTTTAATTATTTGATTAAAAAACACTGATACTTTCAAATATCTGTTAACGTTAGCACATTTATAATATTCACATATGAACAGATAATAGACTATTTGATGATTTCTAAGAGCAGAACTAGAAGTGTACGCATGACACGGCGTACACTTATTTGCCACACCGAAATAGGTTTTGTATATTTTTTTTAATGTTCGCCATCACGGACACGGGACATGGACCAGAACGGGACTACAAAAAAAATATTAGCCGCGACCGGGACCGAGACAAAAAAAAACATGGTTCCGCAGTTGCCTAATCATATCGCAGAGATACAGAACCGATCCTAGTAAAACTTGGATAAAATCTAATCCACTTTCATCTTGCAATTTCTGTCAAGATGTTGAGCAAGATCGAGTGTGAATCCTAGTAGGACCCTGCTTTATTAAATAATAGAGAAGTCTGACAAGGAACTTGAAAACATACTGAGAAGAATCCCTCTTTCACAGTGAGATATCCTGCAGCCCAATATTATTGAACTTAGAAACAGAATCCTGAATAAAACATGACAGCAATCTATTAGAGAAAACCAGAATGCAGCAGAAAACGATAAGCAACACAATAGTATGAAATCCACAGACAAGTGGTAGATTCTGATGGATCCTAAAAGCGAGCAGAATCCATCATGATATGACAAAAGTTATTGAGACATAAGCACCTCATTGGCTATGGTTTTCTCTCTCTTCTTAGCCACAAATTCTGAAGCCACTAATCCCTTTTTTCATTTATTTCCGTTGACCCATAATCAAGGAGGGAAAAGCGGATCCTGTATCCCACGGATCATATGGATCCTTTTGGATCCTACAAGGGAAAAAAGTGGATCCTTTTGGATTCTAGGATCCATTAGAATCCATCAGGATCCACCAGAAGCCATTAGGATCCACCAGGAACCATTAGGATCCACCAGGATCCGCTTTTTTCCCCTTGACACAAGGATGCCCCCAATGGTAGTAGTTGATGATCAAAGGATACCTTCAATAGTAGTACTTGAGGGTCCAAGGGTACCCTCGAATGACCGAACCCCGGGAATATCGAACTCCGGGAAGTTCGGGCTCGGTGCATGTCTATCCACAAACTGTCCAAAAAATACACAAGAATATCTGTGTTGCAAGGGACGCCGAAAACACTCATTTCCTGTTTTTCTGCATAATTTTGATACCTATTGTGATTCATTCTACTACTTCTTTGATAGAATTGATTAAGCTTACCGTACTCTGTGGTGGTATTTACTTGGTGAGCTAATAGAAAGTTAAAAGATTTTTCGGTGTACCTGATTTCGCTATGATTAGAAGAAAGCTTCTCAAAAGTTTTGATATAATTAAGGATGTCCGTAACACATCCGAACAACTGTAAGACATACATTGTGTCGATTGTGTAATATGTGAAAGATAACTAAACAATGAGTAAGTTTATCTCTTATAAGTAGTATTTAGCCAGCTATACAAGAGAAACACAAGATACTGAAAATGCATCGTTTGACGAATGTTCTACTGTTCGCTACTGGAAGTTGAACTAAGTTATTTATTAGGATATCACCCTCTGTTGCCAGTTTAAATCATAACCATCATTCTCACATAGTTCAAGTTCCGCTAGATGATTAGCAATCGTTATTAGCTGCTCGATTAATTCCTTCATTTAATTTTTTTCTTTGTACACCAGTCGTGTGCACAAGCTTTAACATGTTTCGTAACATCTTGAGGCATAAACAATTTCCCACAGCCAGAACATTTATATTTACCATCAGTGTTTTTCTTTAATACTTCTGCTACTTTTTTCTGTACTATTCCATGAGCTGTTACTAAATTTCTTCTTTTTCGTTCAGCTGCTCGTTGGTTATATTCAAAAATAATATCTTTTATATTTGGGTGAATAAGTCTGATCTGAGTGTTCCAATTAACTACATCACGCCATTGATGCCTATCGAGGCATTGTCTTCAGTTGATAACATTCAGAGTCTATAAATCGTTTTGAATTTTATCCTCCCATCTCTTTCTTATACCAATATTTCGAGGTCGTTTCTCTTCAGAAAAATATGAAAATGTAATCTTTTTTACTACTGATGGCTCACCATTACTGTTCATCATCCTATTTGCATGTCCGAGCGACCACATTCTATTTCTACGTAGAATATTCTCAAATGGTGGTTAACCAGTGATTTCTAATAGTTTCTCATTTGACATTCTATCACCTGAACTTATACCGATAATTATACGTAGACATTTCATGTAAAAAGTGGCAATTCTACGTTTATGCTGACCGGTAATCGACCACGGTTCACTTCCATAAAGTAAAACTCGAAGAACACAAGCACGAAAAACTAGTAGTCTTGATTTGATTGAGACAGTTTTTCGGCTCTACAGTACATGTCTTAACATATTAAATGCAATGGCAGCTTTGGTTAATCTTGTATTGATTTCGTTATCAGGCTTCTGATCTCTAGTGATGTTGCAACCTAAATACGTGAAAGACTCAACAGTTTCTATCTTTTGGTTACGAATTGTAATGTCAATATCAGGAAAGATCATTTCGTTCTGTTTTATAATCTTCCGCAAAATGTTGTAAAGTCATAATACATGCTTTTTTAATATTCATTGTCAATCCACATTCTTGAGTCACTTTTTCAAATGTGCGAATAAATGTTGCTAGGTCAGATGCTGTTTCACACATAGGTACAAGATCATCAACATAAAGTAGGACCAATATGTTAAAATTTTCATATTTTTCCAATTTGGTATGAAAATATCATTACTACCATAAGAGAATTTGACTCCAGCAATACCAGCCTCTTCTAACCCGCGATGCAAAAGTATCCGTACAAATGTCTGAGGTTATTACGTAGCGAAGATGAATCATAGAAATCGAATTAACATGTCTTCTGATAGAGTGAAATGAGCTCTTTAGAATGATGTATGACTTGTTCATTCAAAATGAAAAATAAGACTGACACAGGAAAAACATGGAGGACTTCTAAAATGAATTGTTACCGGGTGTACCAAAAGTTTTGCGACATTTTCCCGCATATATCTCAGCTTGAGAAAATGATACAACCCTGATCTTTTTCTTAAATGATGTGCGGCGAAAAGCTCTACATAAACTGCATACAGAAATCCCTATTAACTGGTTCTCATGGTGTTTTTCATACTCAATATGAACACCCTACATGGTAGTGCAATGTCCCAGCGTGTTGAGCATGATTAAAATGTTTGGAAGGCCTTTTTTGTTTTTCAATAGA